CCCCAGATGGTCAAAGGTGATATTCATGTTGATGTACCACCCGCAACTGTAGATGTAGTTGGCACTTTGTTTTACACACATAAAAAATGGTGATTTCAAGTCACGTACACATTATTTTCTGCTCTCTCACCACCTCATTTGATTGGCAGCTGTAGGTTCCCAATGCTCTCCGTCAATATTACTCAGATGCAAGTTCTGACTGAGCATAGTTTTCGCATCTTTTCTATGCTGGTTTTGTTTGTATTTTCCATGGCCTAGATTGTTTTAATAATTAGTATTTTTTATCCTTCCATCTGAAGGCCATTCATCTGTTTGAAATGCAGTTCTCATTCATCAATGAGCTTCAGATTCATCCCGTCCACTAGCACATATCAACCATGGTCCAGCTATTTGATCATGGCACTTTGTACTCAGTTTGTGTCTTTTCTAGACATGTGCTAGCACATTTGTAGAACTTTAGTAACAAGTTCTTCTCTCAGTGCCATATGTCTGATTGGGAAATACAGTTGCACTCTCCAGCTTGATCTTTTCGAGTGCTTTGGGGGACATGACCAAAGGGCTTAACAAGCTTCATAACTATTTGGTTTAGTTAACACTATAATCTTCGAAGTATGAAGCAAATGGGGGGGGGGGGGGGAGAAAATGAGCTGGAAAAATGTCTTAAAGGATTTCTGTCTTGGTGGGATTGGATAGGAAAGAGGGACTGAAATGAAAATGTTGATACTTGGGGAAGACAGTTCAGGTGTAGTATCACCTGGCTGAATGGAGTAGATGGCTCATAAGCTAAATAGGGTTGGGCTGGGATTGGAGATGTCTCTGATATTGACATCAGGGGAACTGGGATTTCACCTATTGGTTTTTGGATGAAGAGTAACTCTGATAACCTGACCCCTTGTGGATACCAAAGGTCTCATGGCCCTTTCTCAAAGAGTATGGATGTTAACCAGTAGTTCTGGACAAAATGTAGTGTGGGTATCTTTGACAGACTGGATCTCCTAAGCTGCTATTAAATAAATTGCCACAATTCACTCAAAGCAGTGGATGAAGTGAACCTTATGTAAAAAATGTTTTATTAATTGTGAAGTATTTGGGGACCCTTCCGTCTAAATGGTGCTCAGGAAAGTCATGGTATATCATTTTATGATTAGGAAAAAAGCCTTTCTCCACTTGATCAGCAATTCAAATACATATGCCCATTTTACAAAATCATTCTCACATTTACTACCCTTGCTATCATTCTCAGGAGCAGAGCCAAGGTTTAATTGGGTATGGTGAGTGAATTGCCCTCTTGCTAGAGATTAAAGGATGAAACATCACTAAGACAGTATGGGGAAGCTTGCACAGCAACTATTTGTCCTGCGATTCTACCATGGATAATTGGAGGATTTCATATTTCCTGAACTATCAATTTGCCATCTTTTATAAGCACTAAATTAACTAAATTTAAAAGTAACAGTATTTTCTAGGTGCCTCATACTCCAATCTGTTTCATACTAATATTGCACTGTCTCACTGTATTGTACTATATAGATCAGTGATTTTCAAACTTTTTTCTTATGACCCAGTTGGAAAAATCATTTATGCCTGTGACCCAATAATTTTATCTTTTTAGAGACACAAATCCGCCCACCTCCCACTCTCCCTCCTCCCCCTACAGAGCTCCTGTGTGTCTGCCGAAGAACTGCCCCCCCCTCCTGCGGAGCTCCTTGCACTGCTGCCAGGGAACTCCCTCCCCACCCACATCCCACACCGAGCTCTGACTACTGACCCAGTGTCGGCTCGTGACCCTAAGTTTGGGAAATCATTGATACAGATCATCATCTCTCTCCTTTCCTTTCTCTGTATAGAAAGTGTGTTAAAAAAGAAAACCAAAGGTTATCTGAGTCCAGTTTGTGCATAGTTCTCAGGGAAGGAGATGTCTGTTGCTCCCTGGCCCTGCAGGAAAGGCTTATAGGGTAGAGAAGCACGTTTGTAATGTTGTTGCATTGGACTGTACTGGTACTGGTAATGAATGTAAATAAAAACACCTGAAGTTTCCACTAAGTGACCCATGTCTGAGAGGATCAGAGGATAGCGATAGAGCACGCCTGAGACAATGAGAGAAATCATCTGCTGTTAGTTTCTACAGAAAATTTTCTATTAAACTATTTTCTCTATGATATTGGGAATGGGACTAAGAATACTTTGAAGGTTATGATGGTAGTTGTAACGTAGTTAAAGAAAATACTCAGGAAGAAGATCCTCCAGCACTATGGGCTCCTGTTCCCAACTGAGGCCTTTGGTGTTATCAAAATGTAACTATTTGCTACTTATTTCCTAACAGAAACATCAGTTGAAGGGGGAAAAGTACTCATAACACAAATACTTTGCTCTTAGACAGATAGCACTTCCCTGGATCAGGGTCTCTCCAGCAAAAAAGGAAAACACAGAGAGGGTATATCTACACTACCACCCTAGTTCGAACTAGGGTGGTTAATGTAGCCATACAAACTTGCAAATGAAGCCCGGGATTGCTAGTGCGGCCTCCGTGCCCGCAGCTACACACGGCACGAACTAGATAGTTCGGAATAGGAAGCCTAATCCGAACTATCTAGTTCATGCCGTGTGTAGCTGCGGGCACGGAGTCCGCACTAGCGGACATTTAAAAATGGCGGCGCCCGGCAACATGCAAATGAAGCCCGGGAAATTCAAATCCCGGGCTTCATTTGCAAGTTCGTATGACTACATTAACCACTCTAGTTTGAACTAGGGTGGTAGTGTAGACATACCCACACTTATTGGTAGCTAGAGGAATGTAATCCACGAGTCCTAACCCTCGATCTCTGCTACAATCATCTCTGTGAATTAAGCCAGGCCCATACATAAAATATAGACTAAATATGAACTGTAGAGACTAGTAGTCTGGATGCCAAAAGGCAACATACTATCCTCGCTACGCTAAATCAGAATGTTTCTTAGGAAACGAGGCTATACACTAGCCTTAACTGTATACTTCCATGAGTAGTACCAGTGTCATTGTCAAATTGTCAAAGACAAAAGGCGACAAGCAGCATTACACCAATGCTAAATAAGATGACATTGTTCAAATGAAAACATATTTCTCAAAGATGATTTTGAATGGGATAATGAAGTAGGAGTGCCTAAGCAATGAACATGATGGGCATTAACCTTCCAACTTGCTTGACAAAGTTTGTCCAGTCCAGAAAGGGAATAGGATTGATATCCAGATCATCACTGATGTCTAAGTTTTGAGACTATGTGTACTCACAATTTTAAAACTCTTGAAAGTCCTATGAAATTTGATTCTGTGCCTTAGATTTATATACTTACTTATTGCTCTTTTTACTCATATAGGAAAAATCTCTACTTTCCTTTACTCCTTTCAAAGACAGAAATACTATTGATTTCAGTGGAGTTTCTCTTGATTTACACCTACGGTATCAGAGCAAAATTATGTCAATTGAATACAGCAATACACCTGACAAGTAACTTTTAAAAAATAAAGTGGTGAGATTAAAAACATTGATCAAAACACCCTATTTTGCCAGTTGCTCCAAATATCTAAGTAAACTGTCATCAATTATTAGTCCTTTCCCAGTAAACAACAGCATGAAGTAAATTTGTTTCTTTCTGGTTGCCTGAAAGATGAAAAATCTGAAAAAAATCATCTAATTATCATATATGGTCTAACAACAAATGAACATTAGTATTTGGCATTAACTAATGGAACAGCAAATAACACTAAATGAATCTTACTTGAAATTGCTGTTAAGTATTCTTCTATTCTACACAAATAGCAGCATCCGTTAATGGCAATGCTAAAATGGTTTGCTGGTTATTACAGCTTGGTTTGAAGCCCTTAAAGAGTCCCAAATGACAACAGTTGCAGTTGGATGTGCAGACAGAGGTCAGAAATAATGGACCTTTGCCTTTAAGCATTTTATAATATTGCAGAGCAAACTCAAGGGAGTCTCTTCTGTTTAGCTGGGGAAACAAAGCTTTGCTTTATTTCCTGACTATGCACCTTTGATTCCTGCAGAGATTCCTGCTCCCCACATTGCACTCTGGTGAGTCTAATTACTGATAGCTGCCAAATTTATATTTGAAGCCTGGCTATTAAAAATTCTATTGAAGTCATAGTGCTCAGCATTTAACAGTAATAGAAGTAGCAAAGGAAGATGCATTACAAAGAGGATACTGATCTGAAGGCCAAAACCAACCAAACAAACGTCATCATTTTATATGGTTTGGTTCTTTGCATTACATCTATTACAATTCTATTTTATAGCAACTAGAATGACAATTCTATTTTATAGCAACTAGAATGACACATTTGTTTCTACACAAATCAGAGTGATAAAAAGGCAGAAAATTTGAAGTTCAGGTAACTTACTTTCCGAACTTAACTCATGCTCCCAAAATGCCAATCTTCAGAGTGAAGTTAAAAGATAGAACAAGGGTAGTTCCTGAGCTGGTGAAAATTCAGTGTAATTCGATTGAGAGACACTGATTTATACCAGTTGAGGACATGCAGAATCATCTGACTTTTGAGAGCTTGTGTCCAAAATTTATTGTGAAGCAAAAGTGTTTTCTTGATATTTTTCTCAAGCTATATTAATATGTGTGAATCGGATTCTGATCTTGGTTATGCTGGTGGAAATACAGAGTGACTCCACTGTTTATTCTAACATTATCCCTGATTTACATCAGGGTAGCTGAAATTATATTCAATCTTATCCTATTTGTATTTTTCCACATTTGGAAGCCAGTTCTGACACATTCACCTGGCACTGGATTGAAATCAGTGGACCCATGTCAGTTTCCAACAATTGAGGCTCTGGTCCCATAAGCAGTAAATAAAAGCCAAATCCACAGTTGTCATGTAAAAGGCAACATTTATGCACAACTACCTCACAATAGTATTGAAATATGACAGTGTTTTCTTACAGATAGAATAAAACGTAACTGCTGTGTTGTCTATCAGGAGGTCCTGGTATACCATCCATTTTGTTTTAAACTGAACCAAAAATATATGCAGTGACTAGCCTATAAGCCCATTGTGTCACAAGCAGGACATTCATACTTCAGCAGCTCCAGAAAACTCAAGAAAATACAAAGGAGGTCAGTGTTGCTATGACAATTTGCACCAGTAGAAGTTCTGGCTCCTTGCCTATAAAGAAACATTACATTGTACTGTTTTGGTATATGGAGCAAATACATAAACCTCAGAAGATATATATCAGTATATTAAAATATAATCAAACTTATACCTTTTAGATACAATTGAAACAGACCTTCTAAAATACACAATACATGGATGACATAGGCAGATGACAAACGTAGATTTTATAGGATTCATGCCAAATCAACCCATTTCCTCATATAACTCCATTTACTTCAGCAGGTTATTGCTGATTTACACCAGTGCAAATGAGATGAATTAAGCCCACTGGACAGTAGATTGTTTCAAACAGACCCTTTTCCAAATGACATTCTGTGGTTTCAGTCACATAATCACCTTTAGGAACTCATATGTCTTTAAAAAATCCTTACATAGTTCATTCTTATGCATTCTAAGAAATCTCTGGTAATTAAATAGAAATGGCAAGTGAACGTTTGTGGGAAGCAAATGTTATACAATTTGGCAGTGAGCAGTGGGCATTTAAGTCTGTATCTTCTCTGACTACTGCATCAAGAAAAACTCTGAATGAAAAAAAACAGTAAAAATAGCAAGAATGAACATAAAAATTCAATATGTTCAGTCAGTAGTCAAGAGCCCAGATTTGTCATTATGAAAACCTTGATACAAAAATTTCCTCTCAAACCTGCATGGCTAGTCTCCCTACATCCCCCTGATGTCAAGCATTGATGTCAGGTGGACCTACATGCACATAAGGAGAGCAGAGAACTAGCTCGGAGAACAGAAGTTACCATTCAGTGTGAACTCAGTGAGTTGTTAAAAAAAACACAAGGAAATAACTGATCACACACATAATCAGCTAATCCTTGCCCCTTGTTCTAACTCCTTTGCAATGCTGAGGCTATGCACAAAAAGTGATAACGCTATTCTAATCAAGAAAAACAAGGATTTGCACAGAGCAACAATGTAGCATCTAGATGGATTACTGTATGCTACCAGTCCCCCATCCTTTAGTGTAGCAGGCATGCCAGTGTGGGATATATCACATAGGTGCAATTGGATACCTTAAGCAGTGTAGAACACAGGACTGAGGAAATGAACAGGTCACCTTCTAAGGCCATCTGTCTCCACTTCTCCCAAGCAGCAGTGCTGACAAACCACCTGAAAATGAAGGGCCTTGTTCATTTGTGCGCTACAAAGAGATCTAATTTTTCTATGGTACCACACACACACACACACACACACACACACACACACACACACCTTGGTACAGGGTTTTCTTTAGACTAGAGAGGTTCAACAAGAGAGGGTTGACTGGAGAGGTTCAATTTGAGTCTGCCAACATCCATAGTATGGCATGATTTTAGTTATCTGGATGTCCGCTTCTCATGAGTGTGGCCAAGTTTCTCGCAGTCCCATAAAGTTTGTTTACAGCCACCAGTCCTGGCTCACAGTGATCTGTGTTGTTATTTAGCATTAATATACTCCTAAATTTCTTCTCAGCCCAGCAAGCAGTGAAAGTGTTAATAATGCTTCAAGACAATATTAACCTCCAATGGTTCAGCAAATTCTCCAATTTGACACCAGTCAGGTTCCCAGGCTGCCAGACTAGAGAGGTTCAACCTGTAGTTACCGTCCATCACAAAGATCAGCAACACGGAAAAGCGAACAAGAATCTTATCCATAATACCTAACATATCCAGAGATAAACCTATCACAGTGCCCTCATATTCAGTTGTATTTAAATTTTTAAAACCTGCGTCCCAGTGCACGTATGTTTCAAGAGATGCATAATGTTTGTAGGCAACCATATTGACATCCAAATAACAAATGAGCTAGGTGTTCATTTGTCAGTGATCAATGCTGCAATTTGTCAAAGGCTCTAAAGAAGCAATAGTCCCCTCAACACCATCAATATCTGCCTTAATCCCCTATGCGCAATGGAAGAAGTGGAAGTTAAGCTTCTTTATTCAGCAAACCACTTAAGAGCTTGCATTACTTTAAGTCTCAATGGATTCAGTATGAGTTTAAAGTTAAGCGGGTATTTAAATTCTTTGCCAAATAGGAATGAATGAGTGAACTGGCACCTTAGACAACTTTATCTTGGTCTCTTTTTTTTCCTCCCTCCATTAGGCTGGGAAGGGGGCAGCAGCAGAGTGGGCAAGGAAGTTAGCCTTAACTAGACATTCTTTTTGGAAACCCTCTGTCCATTTTTCTGTGGAGCACACCGAACACGAAGTGCCTTGGCCACATTTACCAGTGAACTGCACCTCTGACCTTTCTTGGTCTCATCGGGTGTCTCTAGACTACACCTCTCTGTTGACAGAGAGATGTAGATTAGGCACGTCGAAATTGCTATTGAAGCAGGGATTTAAATATCCCATGCTTCATTAGCATAAATTATGGCCACCGCTTTTTTTTTTTTTTTTTTGGCTCAACAACTTTTACCCTAGAGTACCAGCACCTTTTTTAAATCATATTAGTCATGCCTAGAGCTCACCGTGCTAATAGGAATGCAGTACTAAAGATACAACTATAGACAGAACCATGTCTAGACTTCCCCCCTTTTTTTTTTTTTTTTTTCAAAAAAGCTCTGTTTAAAAAAAAAGTGGTGGCCATGTTTATGTTAATGAAGTGTGGGATATTTAAATCCCCGCTTCATTAGGAATTTCGACATGCTTGATTTGCATCTCTCTGTCAACAGAGGGATGCAGTCTAGACGTAGCCATCAAGTGCACCTCCTCCCAAGTTACAGGGCTAAACCCATCACTGACTCCAGATGGAATCATACTATTGTCCCCTCTCAGCCCACACCAGGGGTGGGCAATAATTTTTGCTGAGGGACCACTCCAAGACTTTGGAATGTGGTTGAGGGCCCTGCTCTTCCATGATGTTAATGGAGAAATTCCAGGGTTAATGGAGGCTGGGTGCAGAAGGGAGCTTGGGATAAGGGATTGGGGTACAGGAAGGAGAATGGAGTCTGGGAGGGAGTTTGGGTAAAGGAGGCAGTTGTGACCTAAGGCAGGGGACTGGGGTGCAGGGTTTGGGAATGTAACCTAAGGTAATAGGGGACTGTGGTCTGGGCAGGAGATTTGGGTGCCATATATGGGAGGAGAGATGTGTGCATGAGGGGACTGAGAATTTGGGTATGTGGAGGAAGGACAGAGGGCTGGGGTGCCAGAGGCAGGCACTGGCTCAGAGGCACTGGCTCAGAGGCACTTACCAGCAGAAACCTGAGGCAGACTGTCTGGTGCAGACTGCTCACTGCTCCAGTGGCTCCACTCCAGGCATGAGAGGGAGGGGGACAAAAAGGGAGGGAGAAAGCTTCTTACACTGCCCCTGCTCCCAGCAAAAATTCTCAGCTTCTATTGGCCAGAAACTGGGAGTTTGGTGAATGGGAGTTTGGTGGGTGGCGGGAACAGCATGAGTAATCTCCCTCTGTCCTCCCCAGTGATGCAGAATGGAGAATATCTGGCTTTTTAAAGTATAGGCTGTTGTCTGCCTAAGGGCTTTGGTGAGGCAGGTGCAGGTAAGATCCGGTGGCTTGGCAGGCCAGATCTGGCCAGCTGGCAGTCTCTTGCCCACCCTTGGCCCAGATCCAAACACTAAACACAATTACTTCAACAGGTTTGACTTAAGCTCTGACACTACAGTTCTATTCCTCAGGCTCCAAGAACAATGATAATTCTGTGACCAAAAGAGCCTTCTTAGAGCAAAGTATCACATATTTAGAACCAAAACATTTGAGAGACAGCAGATCTTAACAACAACCAAACAGACTGTATGCATAGCAATTTTTTCCCTAAGGATCTGGGAAGACCCATTTTATTTAGATTGTCTCTCCACAGTGCCAGTCTCTGTGTCAGCCTGTAGACAGCTTCTGAGAAGCGATCCCTTTCTTCCCATTGGAAGGGCATTTTGCAGTGTTCTTTTGACTTTCAGGCTTCCAGCTTTGGCCAAAACAAGGCTTACAATTTGCTGGAGTTAGGATTCGGGGCCCTTAAAGCTCACAACTTCCCACATTGCCTTCCAATTACATACTTCAGACTGCTTATCAAAATCTATTGGGTGCCTTTTCTGTTTTCTCTTCAGACTCCTATTTAGATCAATATATTCATATAGGAAATTCTAATAACCCACCATTATAACTTTACCTCACTGACCAAATCTCTTACAGATTCATACCATTATTACACATCAGTTTTCATAGATTAATACTTAGCATGTCCTCATCTAATGTGGGCATTACTAACCCCCTTACACTAATCTGGGCACTACTAAACCCCTTACGCTCAATGTCATTTCTGTGCATGAAACCTACACCTATCCAAAGACAGTCAGGAGTAACTCACATGCTTGCTTGTCAAATGGGAACCATGTACCAGCTGGCATGGCAGATTCACAGTGTAAAACCCTAGCCCCATTTATGTCAATGGCAAAACTTCCATTGACTTCCAGAGGGTCAAATGTCACCCACAGTGAAATGCAGGATTCCATTCACAAAGGTACAGTATAACCATGGAGAATATATAAAAGGGTGAATAGCCTTACCTCCACACACTCTCATGCCATAAGGAGAGAAATACTCAGACAGAAACATTTTGGAAGGCCAGATCCCACACCCTCACTGCCTGTAAATTAGCAATGCTTTCTTGACTTCATGGAAGCTATGCTAATTTACACCAGCTGAGGATCTGGCCTAACTAAAATTACAAAGGGAAGTACCACAATTTACAATTTAGTTTTCCACAGGTGTATTAGGTTCTCATTCTTTCTGTACTAAGTACCAAGCAGTAGTGCTACTTTACTAAGTAGTATAGTATTGCACTATAGTATACTATTGACTGGTATTAATTTCTTTAAAAAAACATTTGGCACTTAAACCACGCCTCTCATCAGGGTATGAAAGCACTTCTTGAGGTGTACCGTACATGCTGTTCTCTGTACAAGAGTGCTAATAGCTTTGCAAGTTAATTAAAATAAAATGTGAAAGGCTTTTATTATAAATGACAAAGGCACAGCCTTTGACCTCACGTATCTACTAAAATATATCACTGAGTATGTTGATTTTGATGTAAAATGTAGTCTTTTACCTTTAGACATTTTAAAAAATCATTTATAAGAGACAGGCAAAGAAAGGCAATCATTAATCATAGCGTTGTCAAAAAACAACTGCCCAAGCAATTACCAAATAAAATCTACAGAACCTGGATAAACTGTTCAAATGCAAATGTTCTAAGATCAGTGATAAAAGCTTGGAATTATCTGCCTTATTTACATGTTGTTTTCTTCACAATAACCTTCCTGTAGTTCAGTACAACCACCGATTACAGTCTACTGAGGAATATATTGCTAAAATGATACAAATGATGGAGGGAAAACTAATATTGGCCAGGCTTTTATATTGTCTATATATTTTTAAATGTCTAATTTCAGAAGGTAGATAACTAAGGACATGTCTACTCTAGGAAATCATTTCAAAATAATAACTCCCAAAATAACTATTTCAAAATAGCATGTTCACACTACAGGGAAGCCTCAGAATTAGCCCAAGGCAGGCTCCGTTAATGTGGACTTGCTACCTTGACTTAGAGCCCCAGGAAGTACTGGGGAGTAATTAGTCTGAATGACTCTGGGGAGCAGTTATATCAAAATAGCAGCAGTAGAGCATCCACACTAATGCTATTTTGAAATAACTATTTTAAAATAAGAGTTATTCCTTGTGGAAAGCAGAAGTTATTATTTCAAAATAATGGGCTTGGTAGTGTTGATTCTCCGATTAATATTTCAAAATAAGTTATTTCAAAATAATTCCCTAGTGTAGACCAAAGTTAAGGGACTCCCTCTTTAGATAAAAATAATCTGAAAGCTATTCAAGTTAATGACATCCAGAGATCACCAGTGTGAAAGTATATCTTTCATTTAAAATCAAATGAAAAGTACTTGTCTAAAAAATGAATCCATCACATATTAAGCTGGCCATATTATACAAGCAAGTTTTACATAAAAGTCCTTATTGAAATTATTAAGAATTGATATCAGCCATAGAGCAGCAACTCCAGAAATGCACATGAAGGAATTTTGTTCTGTATCTTTGATTGTCTCATTTCATTAAACATGTTGCTCCACACATATCCAGGTTTGTTACATGCTTTCTGAAA